TGTGCGAGAAGGAAAACCAAAGCCTTCTAGGTTAATTGTAGTCTTTATTTGTGCTTTTTGGATAGATTATCCAATTTTTTTGGACAACTGTGTCACACTAAACCTCAAGTTATTGCTTAAATGAAACCATCTGGCAAGTTTACAGGCAAAAAGTCTCTTTTAAACTGCACACAGCTCGAAGAGTGAAGTGCAAGAGCCAACGTAAGATTGTTAAAGTGTTTTTCATTCAACATATTACTTTGTGCCTCAGTGATACCTGCATAGATGGAATTTAACAGATCTGTTTTGCAGATTGGCTCTATGAGTGATGTTTTAGGTATTGTTATGTATGATGTGGTTATGTTGTTAACACTGATGCATCAACAACTGAGAAACATTGAGGTGCTGCAGTTTTGTCCGGTTTAGTAGTTTAGTCCTGTGGTCTTCAATGAGTCGGGCCTTATCCAGTCTTACTTTGGTTTTTACATTTAGCAGATCTGTGCTTTTTAGATTTTCCTTTTTTTTTTACAACTGTATCTCACTGAACGTCAAAATGGTACTTTAAAGAAACCATCTGACGAAATGTCTCTTTGGTGCTGCAAACAAGTCAAAGACATGTGAAATGTGACACTGCATTGTTGTATTTTTTCAGATTATTAAATGTGGTTTCATGTAAAATCCTTGTCTGAAAGATTGCTAATGGCTGTAACTTCCAAATACGTGGAGCAAGAAGTCGAATGTTTCCCCCTGAAATGTTGTCAAGTAGAAGTATGATGTGGCATGAAATGGAAAAACTAAAAAGTCAAGCGCAAACATGTCAAAACTGAACTTATGTAAACTGCTGTTGAGCTGATCTTTACTTCTCCCCCTTTTGATCCAGTTATACCTTTCTTAGTCACCAGCTTACTCGCAGACGCTTCTCTCTCTCTCTCTCTCTCGCTCTGCCTCCTTTCCTTCCTCATTCATTTGTAACTGAACGAGACTCAACACGTCACTTTGCCCATTCAGCGTTGCTTCCTGTTCACACTTCTTCCCTTCGTTCCAACACTCAGAGCCGATCCTCAGATTGCATGGATGGATTAGGGAGATCGTTTGTGAGTTTTGCTTAATTTCATTCTGTCTGTACCCTTTGACTGTGTGCTAAGCTTTGCTCGTGTTGCGGCTGTTTCTCAGTAGCATTTGGTGCTGACGTGCAGCGCCTGGCCGAGCGTTGTGACACATGAAAAATCAGGAAGAAGTTGAAGCAGTGGTTGAGCGTTGCAGCTGACTTGGTGGGTGTATTCTGAACTTGTGCATGTCGTGTTCACTCGGCAGGTGAACGTGTGTGTGTAGATGTGTGACAGCGGAGTGTGTGAGGACAAGCCCCCCGCCCCCCCTGTCAGGATGAGCAGCCAAGGAGGAGGAACCAAGGACCCCCAGTCGGCCAATCACAGCTCTCGGCCGCTGCCGTCCGTACCGGAGGAGAGGAAGTCCAGAAACAAGATCATCTCCATGTTTGCCTCTGAGAAAGGTGACAGATGTGGAGAACATACACACATAAATGACTGTTCACACACATACGGTAACACATTAAACAACATGTGAATGGTGCTGAATGGAGAACTTTTGATAAACTTTGACCTTCACTTGTAGGGGGCAGGAAGAAGGACCGGGACAAGGACAGGCCCGAGATCTCTTCACCTTCAGACTTTGAACACACCATCCACGTGGGTTTTGATGCCGTTACTGGAGAATTCACTGTAAGTATTAAGCATTGGCACCGTACAATTTCTGCCTTTATGTGCTTGTTTCAAAAGAGTGATTTATTAAATTGTGCGGCATCGGTAGAGTTCACACTAGTTTAAGACTTTGTGAAATATTATGATTTGCTTTCTTGGTGAGAGTTAAACTGAAAGATTAATCTGGAAGTAGCATCTGATTAGCTTAGCTTAGCATAAAGATTGGAAACAGGGTGAAACAAGCATCCTGGTTCTGTACCAAGGTCGCTTTCCAACACTTTAAAAAGCTCACTAACTGCCATATTGACTGTTTAGCTTACAGACAAGAGATTGTTATTTATACTTGTTTAACTAACAGCAGCAAAGTAAATAAGCATATTTAGCAAAAGGTTGAAGTGTAGACTGTATGGTCTATGGATATAGCCACGATGCTGTCTTCCACTGGTTTGTGGACTACCGTTTTGAAACCTTGAGTTTGGAATTCAGGGTGGATCTGACTGAGGTCTCAAGGACACTATGCATGCCCATACGGTAGCGACCTGTGTGGGCATGCACAAAGCAGTCATCCCTGCTTTATCATCTGTTTTCTCCTAAATGGGACCATAATTTGTAAAAATGAGCATCATGTTGTAGTCCAAAACTCTTAAAACTGGCAGCTGAGACACTAAGTTCATTCGGAAAATGTTAACTGAAGTAACAGATCATGGAAAAAGCAGTGCCATTTTTCTCATAGACTTCTACACAGTCTGGCTTATTTTTACAATGAGAAGAATCGCCCCCTGCTGGCTATTAGAAAGAAAGCAGGTTTACGTCTTCACTTCTTAGAAGCATCCATCTGTTAGTCCAGGGGTCTCCAATCCTGGTCCTCGAGAGCCGCAGTCCTGCATGTTTTAGATGTTTCCCTCTTCAGGAATCAGGTGTGTTGGAAGAGGGAAACATCTAAAACATGCAGGACTGTGGCTCTCGAGGACCAGGATTGGAGACCCCCGTGTTAGTCTATTGGTTAATCTACTGCATTAAGAAATGTGTCATCTACTAAAAAATTTTAGTTCCTAGAAAATATCAAGAGGTCCAATCCAATCAAAAGCATCAAGTTTGTAAATAGGAAATTACTGTGACACCACAAAAGCTGGAAATCTCCTGATTCACTCACTTGCTATTCTCTGTATAGTGGATGGAGAGTCGTTCAGAGGTTTCAGACACTCACTCGCTGCCAGCTTTTGAGTTATGCAGCAGTCGTTGTGGGCATCTATAAAATGTGGCGCATCACGTTGTGGGATGGTTGGCGGAAAGTCACTTTTTTCGTTCCTCTGTAGAATTATTGAGGGAACTATATAGGGGATAAATGTACACAGTGAGAATTAATAATTAAAATGTTGAACAATGACTGTCGTGCACTGTATTGTAAATAAAGCGTGAATTGGAGGGATGATCTGCAAGCCAATTGGTGAGGGTGTTTTCCACGTGGGTGCAAATGCCATCAGCAATGAGTCAAATCCAGACCATGACTGCATGTCATTTCCCTGCTGTCTTGCCCAATAATGGTGATTTTGAACACAGGTTTTAAAATATAAAGGAAGGAAATGAATGGTTTTAGGGCATCAGATGACCTTAACAGGAAGCTGCTCTGTAATAGAAAGTAAGATTTTTTGTATTTACAGTATATGTACATGGGCATATTTATGCAAATGAGAATAAGCTATACAGTTTAGCATGAGTGAGAATTATGTATTTATGCTAACTCAACTGAACCTCTTTGGTCATCAAGTTTAACATTTTTAGTTTTTATTAATTAGAAGAACAGTGTCCTATAATTTTTTTGGAAAGCTTTATTTAAAATCTTCCTGAATTATTGCACTATCAGAAAGCTATTATTCTCTTTTACTTCTGACTCTCAACAAGTCACATATTAACAGCCTAATGCTAGCTTCTTCTGTTGGTTACACAATCGTTGCCCCTGACACAATCTACAAACAGCTCATCACTGTGTAAGATCTTTTTTGTGCGGTGCAGATCATTTTAATTTCGCAATATGCAAATCTGCTCTTAGTAAGCACTTATTTTTTAAACAGGATATACCGTCAGACTCTGTGTCATGAGATCACTGCAGCTATTGTATTTGTGAGTCCAGCAAGGGTAGCATAGGGGTGCGTGCTTGTTATTTTAAAATGAATGTGCAGGCTTATCTCGTAATCTTGTAGGACGTTTTCAGTGTTGCAGTCGTGTAATCAGAAGCTGGAGTTGATAATCTTGGGAAAGTTGACGTGGAGATTCCACTGTGAAGAAACAGGGAAGGTTCAAGGAATTCCAAGTTGTGTTGCAAGATATGTAGGTCAGACCTGACATGTGTCTCGTCATTCTTAATGTACAGTGAGCATGTTATTCTTGAGTGTTTTATTCTTCAATTTGAGAAAACGGAAACAGATTTATATATATATATATTTTGCAAGTGTCAGATTTTGAAGTGTGATCAGTGTTTGCCCAGTTTTCAAAGGTTTCTTCCACTTCATTTATGGATGGATCAGTGTATGTCTCTCTTTTTAAAAAAAATATGTATCTGTGTGTTTGTCCAGGGCATGCCGGAGCAATGGGCCCGTCTTCTCCAAACCTCCAACATCAGTAAATCAGAACAGAAACAGAACCCTCAGGCCGTCCTCGACATTCTCAAGTTCTACGATTCCACCAGTGGAAAACAGAAATACCTCAGTTTTTCCGCCTCGGGTCAGTTTTCTTTCACTCAGCAGATAAATAAACGTCTAGTTTTGCAGCTGTGAAGTCTCACTCTTCTGTCCTTCCACTTTCTCATGTTTCTTTTTGTCTCTTTCAGATAAAGACTCACAGTCGGTGAGGAGCTCCTTTGATTATTTCAACTCTTATTCACAACATCACTTTTTATTAAACTCAGCAAGTTCTGAGATTCTCTTCATTTTGTCTCTGTATATTCACTGTTGCAGCCGGGCAAGCAGGGTACTGCGACCTCCCCATCGGGCAAAGATGGCGATGACGACGACGACGATGATACACCACCTCCGGTCGTGGCGCCACGGCCAGAGCACACAAAATCAGTGAGTTGTGCCAAAAAAGATGTTCATTTTTTCTTATAACCAAATTATTATTTAGCGTTGTAACTTCTCCACTTTACCATCTGAGTTTTTGAAGTCAGTTGATGCTGTTATCCAGAGTTGCTTTTAGTCTTACTGACAGGAAAGTAGGCTGAACACCAAAAATTACAAGCTGCTAAAAGTAGGACGGGTGAGGTTAGCTAAAGTTCAGCGCTTCTTGGAAAATGTTTCGAACGAACTGAAAGGTGTTTTTCTTTCCCGTGGTGTGGCCAGGTGTACACAAGGTCAGTGATTGACCCCATCCCAGCTCCAGAGGGAGACGCCGCCTCCAAGGCAGCTGACAAACAGAAAAAGAAGGGAGGCAAGATGACCGACGAGGAGATCATGGACAAGCTACGTATGTGAAACGCACTCACAGGCAGAGCCACAGCAGTTTTTGGCTCCAGTAGAATCTGATTTACATTTTTATTTTTTATTTTTTTTGCAATTCTCAGGAACGATTGTCAGTATTGGAGATCCTAAGAAGAAATACACTCGCTATGAAAAGATCGGCCAGGGGTGAGTCACAGTTCAGGACAAAGTAAAGACTGAAAATTGTCAGACACTTGAGAATGAGGGCATGAAGCAGGTTTGCTGGTAGAAATAACCAATTATATAGATTGGACGTTGAAAAAAAATGTTGCAGTAGTAGTAAGAATAACAACACCTTTTGCTGTTTTCCGTTCCAGGGCATCTGGCACAGTTTACACAGCCATCGATGTTTCCACAGGACAAGAGGTAAGTGTGCTTCGTCTTGTGTTGTAGCCGCTCCAAAAACTCAAGTCAGTTTCATCTCAGTTGAGTTTGGACTGAATTGTGTTTCATTCAAGGAATTTCTTGCAATAAATTATTTTTCTAATTTGTTTTTGTAAATAATTAATCAGAAAATGAAGCTTATTCTTGTGTTCTATTCTTATTTATCATTCACTACTGCAGTTTTTAGGTAAGACAACACAATAACTACCAGACAGAATACACTGTGCATTTAACATTTAACATTCATGGTTTTAAATGAGTAAAATAGCAATAAACTGTAGAGCGACAGGGAAGGAAAATCCATCACATGTAGCCATGTTGCTTCTAATGACCCAACAGGAATTTTCCAAAAAAGTACGAGCAGATGTCAGCTACAATAGACCCTTTTCATTGCAGAAAGTTTGGCATGTCATAGCAAGAAGACAGCTGGTGTAACTGATAGCATTAAAAGAGAGAGTGTTTCCTTTCAGTGAGTTGGATCGTGGAACTGGGCATGCTGGCTATCCGGGAAACCTAATAGAACTGAGCCATAATTAACAAAATGAGCTTCTCTTGTGCTTTTACCTACCGTAACTGCTGACAACTTTACATATTCCAGGACGTTCAAAGTATTTTTACAGTATATAAACTGACTTGTTGTGTTCTGCAGGTGGCCATCAAGCAGATCAACTTGCAGAAGCAGCCAAAGAAAGAGCTAATTATCAACGAGATCCTGGTCATGAAGGAGATGAAGAACCCCAACATTGTCAACTTCCTAGACAGGTAACACTTAGCTAACAAAAACCGGACAGGCAAATATTCAGTGTATATTTCACAGAAACCAACTGTACCTTGACTGTGACTGTATTTTACAGCTTCCTCGTTGGAGACGAGCTTTTTGTGGTGATGGAGTACCTGGCCGGTGGCTCGCTAACTGACGTTGTGACAGAGACGTGCATGGACGAGGCTCAGATCGCTGCCGTCTGCAGAGAGGTAAGAGTCTGCTCAAACAACTAAGCATACAAAAACCTTGTTTAAAAAAACCTGTGAATCTGCTGATGGGCTCATCCAAGCATTTAGACACAGTTTCATTACACTAGCTAGTACCACTTGCACTGTTCTTTATTCATTGTCCAGGTGTCAGATTTCTCAGAGGAGCAAATCAGTGTACCAACATGGACTCTGATGCACGTTTTTGTCCAACTGTTAAGACTAAAAGCTTTTTTAAAAATCAATATTCCTAGCTTTGGAAGCGACCTCTGTTTTAGACAGTATTTAAAAGAGATGGCATTCAGGTAGAAATATGTGCAAACATCCAATGAGAGCAGAGTTCTCAGAAGATAAAGTTTGCGTTAGAATGATTGGCCTTGTAACAGGAAGTTCATGTTCCCTGCAGAAACCTTACATTTTAAGTAAAAGACAAAATACAGCTTTGCAAATACGATGATTTGGGTACATAAAAAATACAGTTGCAGCAGTAGAAAAAAAATGTATCATAGCAGTGCTAAAGCTATTTGTTTTTTTTTTTGGCATGTTATTTAAAGTTATAGACATGGTCACAATCTAAAAAGTGTTGCTGCTCTCTGCATTTCATGTTTTGTTATTGTCTGACATTATAAAGCTCAGCTGTCAGAAAATTCCACTGTTACAGAAATGTGACACCACACTCTAGTGGAAGTTGGTCCATCTGTCTCCAGGTTCAGAATAGTTGCAGGAAGTCTGATATATTTGTATCTGTCCTGTGAATCCAGCAAAAATCTTGCCACGATTTGCAAATGTTCTGCTCACAGTGGATCTCTGCAGTATTTGCATGTTTTTGAAGGGTTACACTTGTGTTATATATTTGTATCATGGAGAACAAATCCAAGGAAGCATCTTTTTTGTATTTACCAAAACAAACATGTATCCTTCCTCACAGGTCCTTCAGGCTCTGGAGTTCCTTCATGCCAACCAGGTCATCCACAGAGACATCAAGAGTGACAACGTACTTCTGGGGATGGACGGATCCGTCAAACTTAGTGAGGGAGAGCAACACACGAACATGCATATCAGACCGAACAGCACACTGTTTGCATTTTCATGTGAACTGTCGATCACTGCTGTGGTTAAAAGTCATGAATTAATTAATCTAAATCATTTTTTTCTGGTCTCTGCAGCCGACTTTGGCTTCTGTGCCCAGATCACCCCAGAGCAGAGCAAACGCAGCACCATGGTCGGGACTCCGTACTGGATGGCTCCAGAGGTGGTGACCAGGAAAGCCTACGGACCCAAAGTGGACATTTGGTCTCTGGGGATTATGGCCATCGAGATGGTGGAAGGAGAGCCTCCATATCTCAATGAGAACCCTCTCAGGGTGAGTGTGTGCTGGGAGGAACGATAGGCAGGCAGGTGTTTGATGTTCAGGTGTACTGTACACTTCCCTTCAATCGGAGGGGGAAACAGTTGAAACTAGAGCCGCAGGTAACAGTTATTTTCAGCATCAGGAATCTTTGTGTTGTCTCAGTTTAGTTAGTTTGCAAAATGTGAGAAAACTAAAACCCAGATTGCTTGTTTTTGTCTGTCAAAAAGTCAAAATGCACCTGTATTTTATTCAAAATTATATAACACAGAAAAGCAGAAACCAGCACATAGTTACGTCGGGTCCAAGTATCTGAGCAAGTGTCGACTGGAACGCCATAAATTTATAACAGTCATGTTGGTGAGACACTGAATCTCGATAACTTTTGTTGTCCTAATTTTTGTTTTTTCCACCAGCAAGCCAAGGTTTTTACTTTTTTATTTTTATCTGAACAGTATGACAACATCTGTTTAATAGACTGACACAAAAATCTTTTGTTTCTCAGATGAAGAATCACACTAACTTCGAGCATCATTGACTTTTCCAGTAGCGCCACTGTGAGGTTGAAATTTGTGGTTCCGGGTTAAATGTTTCAACCACTATTGGCTGGATTGTTACATTTGACATAAACGTTCACCGCTTTGATGATTTGTGACTTTCACTCGAGCACCAAATTTAACAAATGACGTTCTCATCTTCTCATCTGATGAGATGTAAAAAAATAAAAATAAACAAAAATGAAGCAATGATGAGCAAATAGTAACAATAAGTCTTCTTAGTACCAGCACATGAGCATTGTAAGAGTCTGGTAACATTTAGAAAAGACTAGCAAACCTCACGATGCTGCTAGCCTGGCTGTTAACTGTAGTCTGGTTTCTGTCACTGTTTCTCTGTATTTCGATCATTAAGTATCGCATTTGATCATCAGTAATAACAAAAGCTAAAATGACGCCAAGTTATTTTATAGTTGTTTGCAAAGACTAGAAGTTTAATTTAAAGATACTGAATGTCGTGCTTTAAGATTGTATTGTACAGACTTTTTTTTTTTTTGTTCTGGTGTTAGGCGTTGTATTTAATTGCCACCAATGGGACTCCTGAGCTGCAGAGTCCAGAGAAGCTGTCTCCTGTCTTCAGATCCTTCCTGTCTCGCTGTCTGGAGATGGACGTGGAGAAACGAGGGTCTGGCAGAGAGCTGCTGCAGGTACAACATGTCTACATGCTGCTGCAATATAGGAATATATCTGAATCTAAAACGTACAAAACATGAGGGGAAACAGCTGAGATTATATCAATCTGACTGCTTGACGATGCATATACTGTGTGGGGCTACCATTAAGTCAACTTGCATCTGGATTTCATTGCGATATGAGACATTTGAAGTGAGCATAGGGCCTAAATGCATTTACAGCTACGCCTTTGAAATGTCCATATTCTCTGTTTCTAATATCAATGGATTTCTCAATTAAAGGACTAGTTTGCCATTTTAGGAAAGTTGCTTATTTGTTGTCAAGGATGACGTGAGAAAAACAAAACCACTCTCACATCTACGTGGGAAATTATGCAACTGGAGGCACATATACCAGTTTAGAGGTGTGTTTTGAGAATGTTTCTTTGAGCTACAAAAGGTCAGAAAATAGCTGAAAAAGGCCATCGCAACTTCCGTTATTCCAAGATGGCGTCTTAAGCCTAAATGAAAAAAATCTTGTGATCACAAAGAACAAAAAAAAAGCACAAACTCTTCACATAATCAGGATGTTTAGAAGTAGACTGCACAGCGTTCTAATAATTGCATGTCTTGTACTGTATGTAGGGAACTGATGTCTATTTGTTTGTCTGAGGTTGAGCCTAAAAGTCAACATCATTCCTTTGCTAATATCATTCAAAGTGCTCACTCCTTTGCCTTCCTTTTCGTAGCATCCGTTCCTGAGGCTGGCCAAGCCTCTGTCCAGCCTCACCCCGCTCATCCTGGCAGCCAAGGAGGCCATGAGGAGCAACCGCTAAATCCCAGTCTCTAAGAACTATAGGAGCAAACGGCAGCCGAAGCCTCCAGAATCTTCCACAGATCTACGTATGATGACCATCAGCAACCTGCGTGTGTTTTTACTTTTTTTTTTTTCCCCAAGAGGTCACAAAATGCTGCTTCACTCTCCTCAGTGTTTCTGTGCTGATTATATATTTATCTCCCCTTTGTGCCTTGTTCTGAAGCTGCATACAGCCATAATGTGTTCCCTGTTTCTTGCAGCTACAGTGTGTGTGTGTGTGTGTGTTTGTTTATGTTGACGCTGGTTACTATGCATATCAGGAATGCAGTATCACTGTTACTCTTGGCACTTTGCACCACCAAGGTCCATATTCACAAAGAATCTCATTTTACTGCTGGGAGCTGAACTAAAACGGCGTTTAAAATTCCCAGCAAGAGTTTCATCTTCACACCTGCAGGGAGCGGCGTTTACTGAGCAAATAAACAAACTCCTCAGAGGATTAACTTAATTCAGCCAAATTAAATGATGTCGTAACACAGGAGCAGACTGGAGCAGACACATCTCATCTTTTTAGAAGCTTCCCTTATCTTCCTGCTTTTATTGTAAGAATGGAAATCCGTGCTACATTTTTTATATC